AGCTAATGCTAACTGCTAAAACATCACATGTGTGTCTTTGAAATGAATGAATAAATGTATGAATGCACTCATGCACCTTGGTAGATTGTTACATAACATGAAGAACATTTTGGGAGGTTTTCATTTTGCAGCACAAAATGAAAAAAAAAATAATAATAAATGAAAAAAAATATCTGAAATATATGAGTTTCAGAAAATAACAAATTTCTAATTTCATTGTATTGGAACTTTAACTGGGAGACAGTTTTTCTTGAGCCATTATTCCCATCCCCACATGAGAGTTACTGTTTGGTTCTCTTCCTTTTTTCTTTTCTGCTGCAGCAGAAATTCACTCTGAGTTGGCATGTATGCCGATCGGTGGGGGGTGTTACTATGCTGGAGAGCTGCTCTTTCTTCATCACACACATCCATCTGCTTCTATCCTCACTTCATTTACATATCAAGGTTACAGGTACGAACGAATGGACGTAACTTACAGCAAAGGGTTTGATTTCACTTTGCATTCATGGAAGTTCATTTGCATTATATTCTGCTGTTTGATGGACTCTGCAGTCTTCTTCTTCTTGGCTCCAAGGGATTTTTGAATGAGAGACTTAACTGCTCTCTGCCCTTTGATTTTTTTCGCCGTGGTAACAGGTTAAATTTCTCACAGTGAGAATGTCTATCACCACACTGATGGATGTTTGATTATGATCAATATAACTGCTCTGCTGCAAGGTAATGAAACTTGGTGGCTAATAATGCAGCAATGATTTCTGATAAGAAAATCTCATTTGAAGTTAAAGGAGAGATGTCTGAGAGCTCATCAGTGTCCTCTGATTAGAAAGGGTCAGTTTATGGAGGGATGCTGGTGAAACAGATACAAATGGCTTTAAAGGAATTGGTTGAAGCGGTTCTCAGAATATTTGCCATTACTTATTTGGTCCTGATTAAACAAAATCTTTAAGCAAAATCTATGATAAGAAGGAGCAGGAAGTGGAGGCGTCTAGCTGCGCTTCTTTGGCCTCTGAAGTTGGCATCTTGGAGCCATGAAAGACATCCAACCCTGTGAATCTGTCCCCTGTGATGTGTTCAGTGATCAGGTTAACAGCTACAGCCATTCAAAATGGCCCTTCCCAGTCAAACGCCAGCCAACTTCCAGCCACTGATGTGACCCCCTCCTTCTCATGGGTGTGCATATTTTTTTACGCTGACTCCCCCCTTTCACTGAATTACAGGGTCTGACCAAGAGAGGGTACTTCTCTTTAGATCGTAATGTTCACAAATCATAACGGAAATAATATTTTAGTACAAAGATTGATGTTTAAAAAAGGAATAGGAATATTAGGGGACCAGCCAAGGACCCATCAAGGAAAGTGGGGAAATTTTGAATGGCTACTACTGTACTAGCAATACAAGCCGATCATCCAGCTGCTGCTGCCTCACTGCCAAAGGGAATATGACATGTTAAAGGAATAGTACACCCAAAACATGATTAGCCTTCATTTTCTACTCACCCCCATGCTGAACAACACCCTGGAGTACTTTTTTGATATCTCAAATGCATCTGGAGATCTGGGAGGCTTCTTGCTGTCTGCTGACATTCAAATAATGGAGGTCTATGGTGTCCGAGGCAGAAAGGTCCATAAAAGTCCACAAAAAACGGGTCAATATTCCTCATACTGCTCGTCCAATGTATTCCAAGTGTCCTGAGTGGGTAGCATCCAGAATTTACTCGAAACGAAGTCATTTAGAATGTTTTTAGAGCATAAACAGTAGTGTATAGGATTTCCTGAAAGCGCGTTCACGACGCTACGGAAGCCGGCAGACCAAACCAGATGAAAGTGCGCATTCAGCGTCTGCTCTGCCAATAATGCAAGCGTAGAAGAAGAAATGTGCCGTTTACCTGTGCAAAGAAAGAAACAACGAAAGAAAAATGTCTGAGGACTTCAGTGTTGAGGAAGAGCACGAGTTCTTTGCCGAGCTGAATGCGCTGGTTTGGTGTGCCGGCTTCCGTAGCGTCGTGAACGCGCATGTGCGCGCTTTCAGGAAATCCTATACACTATGTTTATGCTCTAAAAACATTCTAAATGACTTCATTTCGAGTAAATTCTGGATGCTACCCACTCAGGACACTTGGAATACATTGGACGAGCAGTATGGAGGAATATTGACACGTTTTTTGTGGACTTTTATGGACCTTTCTGCCTCGGGCGCCATAGACCTCCATTATTTGAATGTCAGCAGACAGCAAGAAGCCTCCCAGATCTCCAGATGCATTTGAGATATCAAAAAAGTACTCCAGGGTGTTTTTCAGCATGGGGGTGAGTAGAAAATGAAGGCTAATCATGTTTTGGGTGTACTATTCCTTTAAAGGCTGGACAAGAGTGTGTTAAAGCTTATAGTTAGAGTGGCTCAGGTTATCCTGAGCTATCTCTATAGTTATGCTGCTATAGGCTTAGACTACTGGAGGACATAGGGACCCCCATTTCATCATTCTGCTTCATTCTCTCTCTATTCTCCCACTCTGCAGAATCTGTTAGTTCAATCTCTAACGTTCTGCTCTCTCTGCTTTTTCTCATAGTAGCTTCATCTGGTCTGTTCCTGTTTGGCTGTGACTCCATCCTGGAGAGAAATATCAGCTGTGCTGCTGCCATCAACACCTTTGTTTATAGATGTTAGAGATTGGCCTGTTTTCCAGTGTAGTCCTGTTTCTCTAACTGTAACTGGCTGGATGTGCTCTCTTCATCCTCTGACATGGGAGCTGGCTAGGAGCTCGTCTGCCTGGCTGTGTGTTTCCTGGACGGGGCCGCCTTTTACAGCTGCTTTTTGTGTCTCTGCTTCTGTCTCCTTGAACCCCAGTCGGCCTCAGCAGATGGCCGCTCACACTGAGCCTGGTTCTGCTGGAGGTTTCTTCCTGTTAAAAGGGAGTTTTTTCTCTCCACTGTCGCTACAAGCATGCTTAGTGTGAGGGATTGCATTTTAAGTCAGTGACTCAATGCAATCAACAGTTTTTTTCCCTTAGATAGAAAACTTTGAATCAATTTGACTGGATGATCTGGTGAACTGTAAAGTACCTTGAGATGACATGTGTTGTGAATTGGAGTTATAGAAATAAACTTAATTTAATTGAACATTTATTGAGAAATATTTGATTCAACATAGTTTGTTCCCCAATTCCACTTTAGAAGGGACAGTGTGACACATTTGGCTTTTATTAGAAAAAAAACAAAAACAAATATTCCTCCAATAAAATCTATTAAGATACAATCAAAAATGAAAATGTTATAATAGCTTAGAATTAGTAGTTCATATATACATAGGAGGCGGAGCACCCACTAGGAGACGCCATGCTGTGTAACCTATGTCTCAAAACGTGTTGTCAGTGGCAAAAAAAACTAAACAGGTAAGACCTCCCACTCTGTGTTGCAATGAACCACCATCCATAGTCTGTCCAGTGAGATAAAAAAAAGGAAAAACAAGTTGAAAATGAGAGTCTATGTCAGCAGCTTATACCAGGATGAGAGAATTTATGAGGGGGCGGGGCTTCAACACGGATGCTGAGGTTTCAGGTTTTCTGCTGGAGAGGAAACATAATCCATACTGTGATGGACTGGTGACCTGTCCAGGATGCACCCCGCGTCACCCGTAGACACCTGAAGACAGGCACCAGCACCCCTAGCATGTCAGAGGATGGATGGATGGATGGATGGAGTTTAGTTTGGCTTTGGGTGAGAAACCAGCCAGTGTAGTTCAGGAATTAGTCAGTCCCCACTGCATAAATGGCTAGCTTGTTATCCTACACCGAATGAGCTCAAATGAAACAGTTATCAGCTGCTGTTATTCCAGCTGATTGCATCCAGGCATTGACTTTGCAGCAAGCAGGAAGAAACCTCAGATAGAACTAGACTCAGTGTGAGCGACAATCTGACAAAATGAACACAGAAGCCCTGATCTATAAATATTTTCTATGTTGGAAATGCTAACAGTAAACTAGCTCCATAGATGGTTCTGCCTGGGAAATAAATAGTTAAGCAGATGAGCTCTCAGCCAGTTTTCAAGTCAATTTAATAAAAAAAGAGCATGAAGAGTTAATGCTGGTTTATGCCCAGAAACCAGGTTGTCAGCTTGTGTGTCGCCGTGAATGCAAATGTAGCCCCACCCCTTCTGCAGAGACTCTGCTGCACCTCTCCAAAATTGTAGCTGACCGCAGACAGGAGGCCTCTGATTGGTCAATTCTACATCCGCTCTACACTATACATATCTCCTGTTAGGTACCTTACCACCTTGTTTTATTTGTATGACCACCATTGTGGAAAACGACTCATGAAGATGGACCAGCTAGAAGAGCGAGGTGTGCAAGAACGCTGGGACCCTTTTTCCACCTGGATCCCCGCTTGTTTTCGCCCTCATGTCCCACCGTTGCTGCACAAACCATAACCAGAACTGAAGTCACAGCAAAAGCTGAGCCCATAACTAGGAAAGAAACAGGACTAAGCACTGTAAAACAAGGCCAGCTCAATCATCTGTACAAGGTGTTTATAGCAGCCCAACTGATATGTTACAGCCAAACAAATACAACAAATTATGTTATAACTTTTCAGTTTGAACCTGAACACCTTGATATTGATGAGAAATGCTAACCCAGATGGATAGCTACGCTACAAAGAGCTCCACTAAAGCCGTATGTGGTGCCTCCAAACAGGTCGCCTCATACTGACACAATAAGGCTACTCTCTGCATTTAACACAATTTATATGGCAAGCTTGATCCTCCCACAGGTTAAAGAAGAGCAGCTGATTGGATGTTTGCTTCTCCGGGTGGCCTTGGTTTTGATGTGTCCAGTTGACAGGTTGAAAAATCAATAAATAACTTCAGTATCTTTCAAAACTAATTGCTTAAATTCCCTTGGAAATGTTTTTTCCCCACTAATCACAGTTCCCAGAATGTCTGATGTTAAATGCGATCACTGTACAGAGTCTGGGTGCATGATGGATGAAATGACAACAAACTGACCAACATTCAGCTTTTTTTAGCCTTTATTTACAGCATTTTATCATAATCAATGTAATCAAATGGATTTATATTTCAGGGTTTCTGGCATAGAGGTGAGGGACAAAGTCAGCACAATAAGCCCAGTTAGTCAATATGTTTCTGCTGAAGTGCTCTGCAGCATTAAAGAAAAATATAATAACACAGCAAGAAAACAACAGAAACAGAATAAAGTTAGTGAACATAGAGCCGTGTCACAGAGGGATCTAACAATGTATACTATCTATCCATGCTATTCTATACTGCAGGTTCCTCAGGAGAAAATGGACTCTCAGACCTTAAAAAACATGCAAATCAAAGCTTAAAGTTAAGCTAGCTTTTCTTGTAACCAATAGACAAAGTTAGTTTTATTTAATATTAATGTTTTTACGTCAAGTTTTAACCTTTAAAAAAGTTTTCTGCCTTCAGAGATCAGTTTGTGTTGATCTGGTTCAACATTCTGAGCTTAAGCTTAAACCAACCAGAAAAGTCCCTTTTCCATGTAGCTCTGACATTTGGTAATACGTTTATCTTTATCTTTCTGCTGCATGACGCTGAAGACACAGAGGCCCCCAGAAGCCCCCAAAGGCCCTAGGCCCCCGCCTGCAGTGGAGTGTCCTGGGCCCTGATGTGAACTCCCGGCAGAGTGAACCAGGCCAGGGGAAGCTCTCTTCGGGCGCTGTCATCCTGGACCTTCATGTTAAGGTAGAAATCTCCGGTGTAAAGAAGCAGCATGGCACCCTCACACACAGAACTCTCTTTGGGTTTGACCTGCAGCAGACATAAGAGGCAACAGGTTAGCGACAAAACCCCCCAAAATAAATTCATCCTGTATACACACACACACATATATATATTAAATTCCACTTTTTGTTTTGTGCTGACAGCCTTGTTTTGGTTGCCTACTCTAAGAGAAGAGCTTTCTTCTGGAGATCTGTAGCTTTTCATCGCTGAAAAATGTCTGTTCTGCTCTTTCAAACAAACAACTTTGCCTTTATTCTCTCAAACTGATGGGTCCCCTGAATAAAAACACATTCTCTGTTTAACAGTTATTAAAATATTAGCAGTGTGAGTGGTGTTGGGATATTTAAATATATCTGTCATGTCCAGGATTAATGGCAAACCAGCTGTCTAACCAGACTATCTGCAACTGGTTTGAGGGAATCTAGGCTAGTTGATCAGAGGTGTGTCTGTATTATCAGCACATGGTCTCCATAACCAGTTTGTAAACATAATATGAAAAATATATATGTGCTAAACCCAACACCTATTAGAGGTGATGAGGGTGTAATTCTCAGCCATTCTGGACCATATTGTGCAAATTGAAACAGAACACCTAATTTCTTGAGCAGTAAAAAACAACATATTTGTTGCAGCTGCAGGCATGTCCATGTCAGTCCTCAAAGGTCACTTTCCTGTTCAGTAGGTTTAATAGGTTTCCCTGCTTTTAAACAAACCTGATTCTGATTATTGCCATTCAGCACAAGCTGTTAATCAGTTATCAATGAAAATCAGCGGTGCTGAAGCAGAGAAACCTCTAAAGCCTGCAGGACAGCAGACTTTGGGTATGTCTGTGATGTTAATAGATCATAGAGTATAAACAATGGATAAGATGTGCACACCAGTTCGGGAAAAACTTTTTCCCAAAACGTTTTTGGATTAAGAGGTTTTCCAAAGTTTCATTTCTAGACTACAGGTTTGGTCAAATTTCTGTTAACAAAACATCTTTGGTGCTGCAACAATATTGGAATGAAATTCACTCCATAGTGGAGTGATTTTCATTCCATCTTTGGAAAGATGTAACAAAATGCAGACTGAGTGAAATCCATCCATCGATCTCTGTTTATTTATCTGAAGTGAATGGTTGAATATTTTTTTCCCATGACAGCTGTGATGCCCATGCCTACTACGCTCACTACAGGAAACGAGCTATATAAGAACAGACCATTTACTCTTTACCTCAAACTTTGTTTAATTCACAAACTTCCAAGCATTTCAAGGACCAGTGGGAACCCTGATTAAACCTGGAAAAGCTGCCCTTGTCTTGTTAGATAAATAATTCAGAGAGTGTTAAGGATACCATTTGCATCTTCCTCCCTTAAATTTGCATGTTTAGATCATCAGCACATGATATTCAAGAATGCAAACCTGCTAAAACTTTTCAGACAGGAACTTCAAACGCCACCTGGTGAGTAGATCTGTTCTTTTGGGCCCATTGTGAGCATTGCTTGACTTTTTATACGCGGTTTTTAGGGATAAACCTATGTAATGACTGTATTTCCTTTTACCATACTTTTTATTTTTGGATTAAATTGTTTGTTTTTTCGTTTTGTTTAAAAAAAAAAATCAGGATCAACATTTTGGTCACGTTTGTGCGCCCAAACCAGCAATTTTACTTATAAACTTTAGGGGAAATAAAATAACATGCTGATTGTCATACTCCTTTAGTAAACTTTTATTTTATTAGATATTGACTACCCTCTTTCTAATTTTTACAAAAACCTCAAACACAGCTGAATGAGGAAGCCCAGCGGTGAAGCCAGACAAAGATAAAAGATATTAAGATTTAAAATGTCAGGAACTAAATATAATAAGACATTGTGCTGTATGTTAATGTGCTTATCTAAAAAACATGGAAACCTTTCTGGTACTGTGGTATAACAATTTGCCTCCGTCTCGCTAACATCAACAGAAGATTCTGACCGTGTCAATGAAGAAGGTGTTGGAGCCGATGAAGGTGACGGCTTCATCCAGGTCATAATTCTGGACCCCGTTCTGGTAGTCCTGATACGGCATCACGCTCAGAGACAGCGGGCCCACCGGGCTCTTGCTCAGGTTGGTCAGTTTCACCTCCAGCGTCACGGCGTCGCCCACCTTACAGTCTACTACCACGTCGCAGTCACATGGCTTCCCGTTCACCAACACATCTGAAAAACAGGAGAGGAAACGTTCAGAACTGACCATGCCAGAGTAAAGGTCTCACAGTGAGGGATTTATTCATCTGAACAGGATGAGCCAATCATGCAGCTCCTCAGAGACGGATCAGTTTTACTTCAGTCACAGCAGAGAGAGAGAAAAAGCTTATCTCTGAATATTGAAATGATTTCCCGTCTTTTAATCTCATCCATGAATAATTTCTGTCTTGAAAAGATAAACCAGATCGTTGGAGAAATGGTGTCAAACACAAAAAAAACCACATTTGACTTTTATCAAGTAGATCCACCCTCCATGCTCTAACAGCCAATCACACTGGAAATAATCAAAATCTAGATAAGTCATTTTTTCTTAAAATAAGTGCGTCTGTTCTTGGATTGAGGAGATAAAAGAGACATTTTGCCAATGAAACAAGATAATTGACACTTAAAATAAGAAAAGCACTGTCTTATTTTAGGTGCATATTATCTAATTATCTTATTCTATGAGTAAAATTACTCATTCCATTGGCAATATCTCCTTTACCTACTTAAATTTAGGGTAAATACACCTAATTTAGGAAATTTTTATATATATTTATTTTATATACATATTTCCAGTGCAGGAAGGATTGAGGGACATCTGCTTTAATTTCACTCATTTGTCCCGGCGACTCGTGACGCGGCGCCGTTTGGAGACCCGATCTGACAAACCCAGTGCAGTAAGCGAAGCGTGTCCCCAGCAGGTTCACAATAAACCCAAACATACGGCCACAGCGGCCCTGATCACCCGACAAAACGGCTCGTTTTACTTTCTCAGTGGCACCAATGCTCGTCCACAGATGCACAGACCCGGCTGGTGTATGCTTTCTAATGTCACGCCTGCGGCTGTGATAAACACTGTGAGTCAGAGCCGCTGTGACAGCCTGATGAAAGAGTGGAGCTGAGTTTGGTGCTGCTGGTGAGCCGATTTGTTGCATGCAGCGGTGGGGTTGGGGAGGGGGCCTGGGGGGGCATGAGGAAGGACAGAGAGGGTTGTTATGGGCAGTGACTGAGAGGCTCCCTGAGGAGGCTGGAGCCGCAGCGTGACGACGTTCAGCACCCTTTACTTCTCAGTCAACCAGAGGAAACACCCAGAAAATCTTTTTAGTTCACATAAGTAAAACAAGCTTTTAATCCAAAACACTGTTATCTGGAAACTTGAACGGAGTTCCCTAGGACTGTAGGAGACAGACCAACACCAAGCAGCTGGGATTTATTAAGGGGAAAAAAGACACATTTTTACAAATAATTAAGTGTAAAATGATGCCTGCAGATCCCATTAGTCTATACTTTAGACCCATTATGCTGCAGTTAAAGCTTTAATTCTTCTAGGGCAGTGGTTTGAAGCTGTGCATGAAGCTGCTGCAGAACTGGAAAGCTCCTTTACTGACAGACTGCTGCACTGTAAATGCACCAGGATACATTATCACAGATCCTTCCTTCCAGCAGCTGAAATGCTCTATAACTCTCAATGTTCCCAATCACACAGGTGTAACGTTCTGAAGGACTGGTGTGGACCAGAACATGTGTGCTAAGAGGAAGAAATATGGTGGAGCTCGGAGTGATTTTCAATTCAAAGGCCGGAGTGGGGATTTCGCTCAGATGCGCTCACAACATCAACTAAAAATGTTGGATTATAAAATTTGTAAAATAACATTTATTTCATTTAAGTGTGATTTTTTCCAACATGTTTGACCACATGATCGCAGGTGCTAGCAGCACTGAATGCGACGGAGCAGGATATGCCTGCGCTGTCGCAGATGGAAGTGGATGGAGTTACAGCCAAAGCAGAAAACATGATGAACCCCAGTCAGCCTCAGCAGATGGCCGCTCACACTGAGCCTGGTTCTGCTGGAGGTTTCTTCCTGTTAAAAGGAAGTTTTTCCTCTCCACTGTCGCTACAAGCATGCTTAGTGTGAGGGATTGCTGAAGAGTCAATGAGTCGATGCAATCGACTGGTTTTCCTTAGATAGAAAACTTTGAATCAGTTTGACTGTATGATCTGGTGAACTGTAAAGTGCCTTGAGATGACATGTGATGTAAACTGGCGCTATAGAAAACATGACAGTTAATATTCATGTCTTAAAAAACATATAATAATCTTTTCCAGGACCTTGTTTAGCAAGAAGGCTTGGCTAGCAGCATGTAGCTTTATTCTGCTTCCTGCCTCCTTTTTCAAACGTCAGGATCTGAGCCAGCATGAATAAAGACAGGTAGGACTGATTTAAAGCACTTTTTAGAAAAGGGAAAGAAGAATGAACAATCTCGGATTCACTTGGGAAATAATAGAATATAGTGTATATTTTCTACATGTTTGTTAATCTGCATAGTTGCTCTTAAAGCTACAGTGTGTAATTTTCAGCGACATCTAGCGGTCAGACTGCAGACCGCAGCAACATGAACATCCCCCCCCCACCGCTTCTCCCCCCCAACAGTACGGCGAGCGTTACGGGACAAAATGTCTTCCACGACGTCCGCATCACCTACCTTCTCAAGTGATAAGGTTTGTTTACATAGATAATTTTTTCATGCAGTCATGGTGAAAACAGGCAAAGCTTGTGTCAGTTCCACAGTTTTAAAATGACCTGAACTAAAAGATAGAAACGATCAAAATCTAACGTTAAACCTACAAAAAACTGCTCAACAGATTCCAGCGAGTCAGTATTTAACTAATAGTGCAGCAAAGATGTGAAAGCTGTGTATAAAAACCTTGTGAGGAGAAGCAGCAACCAGGTGCCCATTCTATCAGCTGATCAACGTCATCATCATCACATGTCAATGTTTTAATTGAAATTTTATTGTAAGTGCATATTTCGCTTTTATGTGTGTGTCTTTGTACGTATGTAATGATGTGATGTAATTTTGATGCCTATCTTGGCCAGGTCTCCCTTGCAAAAGAGATTTTTAATATCAATGGGTATTACCTGGTTAAATAAAGGATAAATAAAAAAAAAAAATCATAGTGAGAGCATCAAAAATAAAGCAGAAGCAGCTGCTGGTGTCTGCAGGTGGACGTCCCTGCAAGTTCATGGCAGGGTCAGAGAACATGCAGAGAATCTGCAGAAAACACAGTAGCTGTTTCCCTGAAGCAAGAGGACTCAGTTAGATGTTAAAAGCTTTTGACAATAAAAAAAACGAAAAACTAGGAAACGCGACTTGTTTAGAAGAGTCTCCACTTCAGAGTATGAATGATAAAAGGACGTTTGCAAGGCTACATCTGAATAAACCAGGAGATTTTTAAAACATTGTTTTTTGAGCCACTGAGATCTGAAAGATGCAGGAAAAGGAAAGGAAAAGGTCTTTCTGAGACGTTTGCATCAAACACAGAAGCATGGAGCTCTGACACAACATGGACAACAAAAACATATCTGTGAAATAATGCTTTAAAATGTAAAATATGTTGAAAATAAATTGAAAAAAATATATAAACTCTGCATAGTTACAATTTAAAATATAACCATAAAATTAACATTTTATAATATAAAATACCTAAAAATAAAAAAGTAAAAAAATCCATAAAGTTCAACATTTTTTTTATTTTAATATATAAATAAATACAACAATAAAAACTAAATGTAAAAATATGAAATCTGTAAAACAAAAATGCAAAAAAGTAAAGTTTGAAAAATAGAGTTCCTAGTAGAAAATCTGAAAGTTTAAAAAATGGTTTAAAAAAAATCAAAATATAAAATATTTAAAATAGAAATATAAAAAATAGAGCTTCAAAAACTAAAATCTGAAAATATAAAATCTGTAAAACTAATCTGAAACATAATTAAATTGAAAAAAAATTCTTATTGCTCGATTCACCAATTTTCTTTCCAACAATAATGGAAGAAAATTGACTCCATATTATTCTGCAAACAAATGTATGTTATCTATCTGACTAAATGTAAACATACTGCTGGTCTCTAAACAGGACAACGATCTCCTGCACTATAGATATTAAACAGATTAACTGAATTAAAAAAAGAAGCAGTCAGCTTTCATGGTGTTAAAATCAACTTGAGTTTTCTGAAAACAACAAATACCTGCAGACCAAGTGTAGTAAAAGTTTTGCAAAACATTCAATGAAAAACAATCTGATAAGATGATAAAGAAATTCTTCAGATTTCTGCTGCTAAATTTAAAAGTTTTTCAAATCTTACTCCTATAACTCGACCTTTCTTCCAGAAATTCTCTCGAGTTGAAGAGATTTGTTCATTTTTTCTAAGCATGTGTCCAAGATGGAAATAACATGTTAACACTTGATAGGGATCCAACCACGCTGCATGCCAGCCCTGTTTTAGACTTGCTCTGGCTGCTGATGCGGATATATTTTGATCTCAAAGCTGACAGCCATTTTTCACACCTGTTATCGTCTTTTGGATGCAAGGTGTAAAAAATGTTCTGTTAATTAATTCTCCTGCAGCACAGTCCTTAAATGACCTGCGGCTTTCATACGCCTCTAAAAATCCACCATTTTTTATTTTAACATCATGCTGTAGAAATAAACATAAACACTGGAACCGGTTGGTGAAATAAAACATTACATCTGTGGACCTCTGCTGATGGCGAAGGGAGATATCTGCGATGTGCAGATCGTGTGCAGAACAAACATTTCATAGCTGGCATTCGCTGAGCCTTTAGTGACACCTTTCCAACTAGATATATTTAGTTTGTTCAAAGTCTTGTTGCTAGGAGATGTGCAAATTATAGTTAGCCTACATTGGTTCTAAATGTGGGAATACATTCTTCCACATTAAAAGTGAACAAAAGATGATGGTTAGTCTGCTGATGAACTCCCACACACATTCAGCTCAGTCACACACACCCACAACCTGAAACGCTCGCTCTGCTATCCCACAGTGTAGGTACTGCGCTGCAGAGGCGATCAGCTGATAAGGACGACCAGGCTGTGGCTTACTCCCACAGTCAAAGGGGCAGAAATGTTCCAAATATATTCGGTTAAAACAAAAGTGGAGATTAAAACA